CGGTCGAAACAGAAGGCTTTTTATCACAGGAAAAGAAATCAGCCCTCAACAACTGAACCGGCAGAAAATGATTTTTTTGAAAAAATCCCTAAGCCCCGGGGTCGCAATTTCAGCAAAAATCTGACTTTCGGCAATTCAATCAAAAATGGTGCCAAAGGGTTGCAAATGCTCCCCTGAGAGATTTGGCGGTCGAAACAGAAGGCTTTTTATCACAAGAAACGAAATCAGCCCTCAACAGCTGAACCGGCAGAAAAAGATTTTTTTGATAAATCCCTAAGCCCCGGGGTCACAATTTCAACAAAAATCTGACATAAGGGAATTCACTCAAAAAATGGTGCCAAAGGGTTGCAAATGCTCCCCTGAGAGGTTTAGCGGTCGAAACAGAGGGCTTTTTATCACAGGAAAAGAAATCAGCCCTCGACAACTGAACCGGCAGAAAAGATTTTTTGAAAAAATCCCTAAGCCCCGGGGTCACAATTTCATCAAAAATCTGATTTTCGGCAATTCACTCAAAAATGGTGCCAAAGGGTGGCAAATGCTCCCCTGAGAGGTTTGGCGGTCGAAACAGAAGGCTTTTTATCACAGGAAAAGAAATCAGCCCTCAACAACTGAACGGGCGGAAAAAGAATTTTTTGAAAAAATCCCTAAGTCCCGGGTCACAATTTCAGTAAAAATCTGACTTAAGGGAATTCACTCAAAAATGGTGCCAAACGTTTGCAAATGCTCCCCTGAGATGTTTGGTGGTCAAAAGAGAAAGCCTTTTATCACAGGAAAAGAAATCAGCCCTCGACAACTGAAACGGCAGAAAAAGATTTTTTTGAAAAAATATCTAAGCCCCGGAGTCACAATTTCAGTAAAAATCTGACTTTCGGCAATTGACTAAAAAATGGTGCCAAACGGTTGCAAATGCTCCCCTGAGAGGTTTGGCGGTCATAACAGAAGGCTTTCTATCACAGGAAAAGAAATCATCCCTCAACAACTGAACCGGCGGAAAAAGATTTTTTTGAAAAAACTCCTAAGCCCCGGGGTCACAATTTCAGCAAAAATCTGACTTAAGGGAATTCACTCAAAAATGTTGCCAAAGGGTTGTAAATGCACCCCTGAGAGGTTTGGCGGTCGAAACAGAAGGCTTTTTATCACCAGAAAAGAAATCAGCCTTCGATAACTTAAGCGGCAGAAAAAGATTTTTTTGAAAAAATCCCTGAGCCCCGGGGTCACAATTTCAGCAAAAATCTGACTTAAGGAATTCACTCAAAAATGATGCCAAACGTTTACAAATGCACCCCTGAGATGTTTGGTGGTCAAAGAGAAAGCTTTTTATCACAGAAAAGAAATCAGCCCTCGACAACTGAATCGGCAGAAAAGATTTTTTGAAAAAACCACTAAGCCCCGGGGTCACAATTTCAGCAAAAATCTGACTTTCGGCAATTCACTCAAAAGTGGTACCAAACGGTTGCAAATGCTAACCTGAGAGGTTTGGTGGTCGAAACAGAAAGCCTTTTATCATAGGAAAAAAAATCAGCCCTCGACAACTGAACCGGCAGAAAAAGATTTTTTTGAAAAAATCCCTAAGCCCCAGGGTCACAATTTCATCAAAATCTGACTTTCGGCAATTCACTCAAAAATGGTACCAAACGGTTGCAAATGCTCCCCTGAGAGGTTTAGCGGTCGAAACAGAAGGCTTTTTATCACAGGAAAAGAAATCAGCCCTCAACAACTGACCCGGCAGAAAAAGATTTTTTTGAAAAAATCCCTAAGCCCCGGGGTCGCAATTTCATCAAAAATCTGACTTAAGGGAATTCACTCAAAAATGGTCCCAAAGGGTGGCAAATGCTCCCCTGAGATGTTTGGTGGTCAAAAGAGAAAGCCTTTTATCACAGGAAAAGAAATCAGCCCTCGACAACTGAACCGGCAGAAAAAGATTTTTTTGAAAAAATCCCTAAGCCCCGGGGTCACAATTTCAGCAAAAATCTGACATAAGGGAATTCACTCAAAAATGGTGCCAAATGGTTGCAAATGCTCCCCTGAGAGGTTTAGCGGTCGAAACAGAGGGCTTTTTATCACAGGAAAAGAAATCAGCCCTCGACAACTGAACCGGCAGAAAAGATTTTTTTGAAAAATTCCCTAAGCCCGGGGTCTAATTTCAGCAAAAATCTGATTTTCGGCAATTCACTCAAAAATGGTGCCAAAGGGTGGCAAATGCTCCCCTGAGAGGTTTGGCGGTCGAAACAGAAGGCTTTTTATCACAGGAAAAGAAATCAGCCCTCAACAACTGAACGGGCGGAAAAAGATTTTTTTGAAAAAATCCCTAAGTCCCGGGGTCACAATTTCAGCAAAAATCTGACTTAAGGGAATTCACTCAAAAATGATGCCAAACGTTTGCAAATGCTCCCCTGAGATGTTTGGTGGTCAAAAGAGAAAGCCTTTTATCACATGAAAAGAAATCAGCCCTCGACAACTGAACCGGCAGAAAAAGACTTTTTTGAAAAAATCCCTAAGCCCCGCCCGGGGTCGCAATTTCATCAAAAATCTGACTTTCGGCAATTCACTCAAAAATGGTACCAAACGGTTTCAAATTCTCCCCGAGAGGTTTAGGGGTCGAAACAGAAGGCTTTTTATCACAGTAATAGAAATCAGCCCTCAACAACTGAACCGGCAGAAAAAGATTTTTTTGAAAAAATCCCTAAGCCCCGGGGTCACAATTTCAGCAAAAATCTGACTTTCGGCAATTCACTCAAAAATGTTGCCAAAGGGTTGCAAATGCTCCCCTGAGAGGTTTGGCGGTCGAAACAGAAGGCTTTTTATCACCAGAAAAGAAATCAGCCTTCGATAACTTAAGCGGCAGAAAAAGATTTTTTTGAAAAAATCCCTGAGCCCCGGGGTCACAATTTCAGCAAAAATCTGACTTAAGGGAATTCACTCAAAAATGATGCCAAACGTTTACAAATGCACCCCTGAGATGTTTGGTGGTCAAAAGAGAAAGCTTTTTATCACAGAAAAAGAAATCAGCCCTCGACAACTGAATCGGCAGAAAAAGATTTTTTTGAAAAAACCACTAAGCCCCGGGGTCACAATTTAATCAAAAATCTGACTTTCGGCAATTCACTCAAAAATGGTACCAAAGGTTGCAAATGCTCCCCTGAGAGTTATGGCGTACGAAACAGAAGGCTTTTTATCACAGGAAAAGAAATCAGCCCTCGACAACTGAACCGGCAGAAAAAGGTTTTTTTGAAAAAATCCCTAAGCCCCGGGGTCGCAATTTCAGCAAAAATCTGACTTTCGGCAATTCAATCAAAAATGGTGCCAAAGGGTTGCAAATGCTCCCCTGAGAGGTTTAGTGGTCAAAACAGAAGGCTTCTTATCACAGGAAACGAAATTAGCCCTCAACAACTGAACCGGCAGAAAAAGATTTTTTTGAAAAAATCCCTAAGCCCCGGAGTCACAATTTCAGCAAAAACCTGATTTATGGGAATTCACTCAAAAATGGTGCCAAACGGTTGCAAATGCTCCCCTGAGATGTTTGGTGGTCAAAAGAGAAAGCCTTTTATCGCAGGAAAAGAAATCAGCCCTCGACAACTTAACCGGCAGAAAAAGATTTTTTTGAAAAATCCCTAAGCCCCGGGCTCACAATTTCATCAAAGATCTGACTTTCGGCAATTTACTCAAAAATGGTGCCAAATGGTTGCAAATGCTCCCCTGAGAGGTTTGGCGGTCGAAACAGAGGGGTTTTTATCACAGGAAAAGAAATCAGCCCTCGACAACTTAACCGGCAGAAAAAGATTTTTTTGAAAAAATCCCTAAGCCCCGAGGTCAAAATTTCATGAAAAAACTGACTTTCGTCAATTCCCTCAAAAATGGTGCCAAACGGTTTCAAATTCTCCCCTGAGAGGTTTAGCGGTCGAAACAGAAGGCTTTTTATCACAGGAAAAGAAATCAGCCCTCAACAACTGAACCTGCAGAAAAAGATTTTTTTGAAAAAATCCCTAAGCCCCGTCCGGGGTCGCAATTTCATCAAAAATCTGACTTTCGGCAATTCAATCAAAAATTGTGCCAAAGGGTTGCAAATGCTCCCCCGAGAGGTTTGGTGGTCGAAACAGAAGGCTTTTTATCACAGGAAAAGAAATCAGCCCTCGACAACTGAAACGGCAGAAAAAGATTTTTTTGAAAAAATCCCTAAGCCCCGGGGTCACAATTTCAGTAAAAATCTGACTTTCGGCAATTCACTCAAAAATGGTGCCAAACGGTTGCAAATGCTCCCCTGAGAGGTTTGGCGGTCATAACAGAAGGCTTTCTATCACAGGAAAAGAAATCATCCCTCAACAACTGAATCGGCGGAAAAAGGTTTTTTTGAAAAAATCCCTAAGCCCCGGGGTCACAATTTCAGCAAAAATTTGACTTAAGGGAATTCACTCAAAAATGATGCCAAACGTTTGCAAATGCACCCCTGAGATGTTTGGTGGTCAAAAGAGAAAGCTTTTTATCACAGGAAAAGAAATCCGCCCTCGACAAGTGAACCGGCAGAAAAAGATTTTTTTGAAAAAATCCCTAAGCCCCGAGGTCACAATTTCATCAAAAATCTGATTTTCTGCAATTCACTCAAAAATGGTACCAAACGGTTTCAAATGCTCCCCTGAGAGGATTAGCGGTCGAAACAGAAGGCTTTTTATCACAGGAAAAGAAATCAACCCTCAACAACTGAACCGGCAGAAAAAGATTTTTTGGTAAAAATCCCTAAGCCCCGGGTCACAATTTCAGCAAAAATCTGACATAAGGGAATTCACTCAAAAATGGTGCCAAATGGTTGCAAATGCTCCCTGAGAGGTTTAGCGGTCGAAGCAGAGGGCTTTTATCACAGGAAAAGAAATCAGCCCTCGACAACTGAACCGGCAGAAAAGATTTTTTGAAAAATCCCTAAGTCCCGGGTCACAATTTCAACAAAAATCTGACTTAAGGGAATTCACTCAAAAATGATGCCAAACGTTTGCAAATGCTCCCCTGAGATGTTTGGTGGTCAAAAGAGAAAGCCTTTTATCACAGGAAAAGAAATCAGCCCTCGACAACTGAACCGGCAGAAAAAGATTTTTTTGAAAAAATCCCTAAGCCCCGCCCGGGGTCGCAATTTCATCAAAAATCTGACTTTCGGAATTCAATCAAAAATGGTGCCAAAGGGTTGCAAAGGCTCCCCTGAGAGGTTTGGCGGTCGAAACAGAAGGTTTATTATCACAGGAAAAGAAATCAGCCCTCGACAACTGAACCCGCAAAAAAAGTTTTTTTTTGAAAAAATCCCTAAGCCCCGGGGTCGCAATTTCATCAAAAATTTGACTTTCGGCAATTCACTCAAAAATGGTACCAAACGGTATCAAATTCTCCCCGAGAGGTTTAGCGGTCGAAAGAGAAGGCTTTTTATCACAGGAATAGAAATCAGCCCTCAACAACTGAACCGGCAGAAAAGATTTTTTGAAAAAATCCCTAAGCCCCGCCGGGGTCGCAATTTCATCAAAAATCTGACTTTCGGAATTCAATCAAAAATGGTGCCAAAGGGTTGCAAAGGCTCCCCTGAGAGGTTTGGCGGTCGAAACAGAAGGCTTTTTATCACAGGAAAAGAAATCAGCCCTCGACAACTGAACCGGCAGAAAAAGATTCTTTTGAGAAAATCCCTAAGCCCCGGGGTCGCAATTTCAGCAAAAATCTGACTTTCGGCAATTGAATCAAAAATGGTGCCAAAGGGTTGCAAATGCTCCCCTGAGAGGTTTGGCGGTCGAAACAGAAGGCTTTTTATCACAAGAAAAGAAATCAGCCCTCGACAACTGAACCGGCAGAAAAAGATTTTTTTGAAAAAATCCCTAAGCCCCGGGGTCACAATTTCAAGAAAAATCTGACATAAGGGAATTCACTCAAAAATGATGCCAAAGGGTTGCAAATGCTCCCCTGAGAGGTTTAGCGGTCGAAACAGAGGGCTTTTTATCACAGGAAAAGAAATCAGCCCTCGACAACTGAACCGGCAGAAAAGATTTTTTGAAAAATCCCTAAGCCCCGGGGTCACAATTTCATCAAAATCTGATTTTCGGCAATTCACTCAAAAATGGTGCCAAAGGGTGGCAAATGCTCCTGAGAGGTTTGGCGGTCGAAACAGAAGGCTTTTTATCACAGGAAAAGAAATCAGCCCTCAACAACTGAACGGGCGGAAAAGAATTTTTGAAAAATCCCTAAGTCCCGGGTCACAATTTCAGCAAAATCTGACTTTCGGAATTCAATCAAAAATGGTGCCAAACGTTTGCAAATGCTCCCCTGAGATGTTTGGTGGTCAAAAGAGAAAGCCTTTTATCACAGGAAAAGAAATCAGCCCTCGACAACTGAACCGGCAGAAAAAGATTTTTTTGAAAAAATCCCTATGCCCCAGGGTCACAATTTCAGCAAAAATCTGACATAAGGGAATTCACTCAAAAATGGGGCCAAATGGTTGCAAATGCTCCCCTGAGAGGTTTAGCGGTCGAAACAGAGGGCTTTTTATCACAGGAAAAGAAATCAGCCCTCGACAACTGAACCGGCAGAAAAAGATTTTTTTGAAAAAATCCCTAAGCCCCGGGGTCACAATTTCATCAAAAATCTGATTTTCGGCAATTCACTCAAAAATGGTGCCAAAGGGTGGCAAATGCTCCCCCGAGAGGTTTGGCGGTCAAAACAGAAGGCTTTTTATCACAGGAAAAGAAATCAGCACTAAACAACTGAACGGGCGGAAAAAGATTTTTTTCAAAAAATCCCTAAGTCCCGGGGTCACAATTTCAGCAAAAATCTGACTTAAGGGAATTCACTCAAAAACGGTGCCAAACGTTTGCAGATGCTCCCCTGAGATGTTTGGTGGTGAAAAGAGAAAGCCTTTTATCACAGGAAAAGAAATCAGCCCTCGACAACTGAACCGGCAGAAAAAGATTTTTTTGAAAAAATCCCTAAGCCCCGGGGTCACAATTTCAGCAAAAATCTGACTTTCGGCAATTCTCTCAAAAATGGTACCAAACGGTTACAAATTCTCCCCGAGAGGTTTAGGGGTCGAAACAGAAGGCTTTTTATCACAGTAATAGAAATCAGCCCTCAACAACTGAACCGGCAGAAAAAGATTTTTTTGAAAAAATCCCTAAGCCCCGCCCGGGGTCGCAATTTCATCTAAAATCTGACTTTCCGCAATTCAATCAAAAAAGGTGCCAAAGGGTTGCAAATGCTCCCCTGAGAGATTTGGCGGTCGAAACAGAAGGCTTTTTATCACAGGAAAAGAAATCAGCCCTCAACAACTGAACCGGCAGAAAAAGATTTTTTTGAAAAAATCCGTAAGCCCCGGGGTGACAATTTCAGCAAAAATCTGACATAAGGGAATTCACTCAAAAATGCTGCCAAATGGTTGCAAATGCTCCCCTGAGAGGTTTAGCGGTCGAAACAGAAGGCTTTTATCACAGGAAAAGAAATCAGCCCTCGACAACTGAACCGGCAGAAAAGATTTTTTGAAAAATCCCTAAGCCCCGGGTCACAATTTCATCAAAAATCTGATTTTCGGCAATTCACTCAAAAATGGTGCCAAAGGGTGGCAAATGCTCCCTGAGAGGTTTGGCGGTCGAAACAGAAGGCTTTTTATCACAGGAAAGAAATCAGCCCTCAACAACTGAATCGGCGGAAAAAGTTTTTTTTGAAAAAATCCCTAAGCCCCGGGGTCACAATTTCAGCAAAAATCTGACTTAAGGGAATTCACTCAAAAATGATGCCAAACGTTTGCAAATGCTCCCCTGAGATGTTTGGTGGTCAAAAGAGAAAGCCTTTTATCACAGGAAAAGAAATCAGCCCTCGACAACTGAACCGGCAGAAAAAGATTTTTTTGAAAAAATCCCTAAGCCCCAGGGTCGCAATTTCATCAAAAATCTGACTTTCGGCAATTCACTCAAAAATGGTACCAAACGGTTTCAAATTCTCCCCGAAAGGTTTAGCGGTCGAAACAGAAGGCTTTTTATCACAGGAAAAGAAATCAGCCCTCGACAACTGAACCGGCAGAAAAAGATTTTTTTGAAAAAATCCCTAAGCCCCGGGGTCGCAATTTCAGCAAAAATCTGACTTTCGGCAATTCAATCAAAAATGGTGCCAAAGGGTTGCAAAAGCTCCCCTGAGAGATTTGGCGGTCGAAACAGAAGGCTTTTTATCACAGGAAAAGAAATCAGCCCTCAACAACTGAACCGGAAGAAAAAGATTTTTTTGAAAAAATCCCTAATCCCCGGGGTCACAATTTCAGCAAAAATCTGACTTTCGGCAATTCACTCAAAAGTGGTACCAAACGATTGCAAATGCTAACATGAGAGCTGTGGTGGTCGAAACAGAAAGCCTTTATCACAGGGAAAAAATCAGCCCTCGACAACTGAACCGGCAGAAAAGATTTTTTGAAAAATCCCTAAGCCCCAGGGTCACAATTTCAGCAAAAATCTGACATAAGGCAAATCACTAAAAAATTGCTGCCAAGTGGAGGTAAATGCTCCCCTGAGAGTATAGGAGGTCGAAAAAGAGGGCTATTTATCACAGGAAAAGAAATCAGCCCTCGACAACTGAACCGGCAGAAAAAGATTTTTTTGAAAAAATCCCTAAGCCCCGGGGTCACAATTTCATCAAAAATCTGATTTTCGGCAATTCACTCAAAAATGGTGCCAAAGGGTGGCAAATGCTCCCCTGAGAGGTTTGGCGGTCGGAACAGAAGGCTTTTTATCACAGGAAAAGAAATCAGCCCTCAACAACTGAACGGGCGGAAAAAGATTTTTTTGAAAAAATCCCTAAGTCCCGGGGTCAGAATTTCAGTAAAAATCTGACTTAAGGGAATTCACTCAAAAATGGTGCCAAACGTTTGCAAATGCTCCCCTGAGATGTTTGGTGGTCAAAAGAGAAAGCCTTTTATCACAGGAAAGAAATCAGCCCTCGACAACTGAACCGGCAGAAAAGATTTTTTGAAAAAATCCCTAAGCCCCGGGGTCGCAATTTCAGCAAAAATCTGACATAAGGGAATTCACTCAAAAATGGTGCCAAATGGTTGCAAATGCTCCCCTGAGAGGTTTAGCGGTCGAAACAGAGGGCTTTTTATCACAGGAAAAGAAATCAGCCCTCGACAACTGAACCGGCAGAAAAAGATTTTTTTGAAAAAATCCCTAAGCCCCGGGGTCACAATTTCATCAAAAATCTGATTTTAGGCAATTCACTCAAAAATGGTGCCAAAGGGTGGCAAATGCTCCCCCGAGAGGTTTGGCGGTCGAAACAGAAGGCTTTTTATCACAGGAAAAGAAATCAGCCCTCAACAACTGAACGGGCGGAAAAAGATTTTTTTGAAAAAATCCCTAAGTCCCGGGGTCACAATTTCAGCAAAAATCTGACTTAAGGGAATTAACTCAAAAATGGTGCCAAACGGTTGCAAATGCTCCCCTGAGATGTTTGGTGGTCAAAAGAGAAAGCTTTTTATCACAGGAAAAGAAATCAGCCCTCGACAACTGAACCGGCAGAAAAAGATTTTTTTGAAAAAATCCCTAAGCCCCGGGGTCACAATTTCAGCAAAAATCTGACATAAGGGAATTCACTCAAAAATGGTGCCAAATGGTTGCAAATGCTCCCTGAGAGGTTTAGCGGTCGAAACAGAAGGCTTTTTATCACAGGAAAAGAAATCAGCCCTCGACAACTGAACCGGCAGAAAAGATTTTTTTGAAAAATCCCTAAGCCCCGGGTTCACAATTTCATCAAAATCTGATTTTCGGCAATTCATTCAAAAATGGAGCCAAAGGGTGGCAAATGCTCCCCTGAGAGGTTTGGCGGTCGAAACAGAAGGCTTTTTATCACAGGAAAAGAAATCAGCCCTCAACAACTGAACGGGCGGGAAAAGATTTTTTTGAAAAAATCCCTAAGTCCCGGGGTCACAATTTCAGCAAAAATCTGACTTAAGGGAATTCACTCAAAAATGGTGCCAAACATTTGCAAATGCTCCCCTGAGATGTTTGGTGGTCAAAAGAGAAAGCATTTTATCATAGGAAAAGAAATCAGCCCTCAACAACTGAACCGGCAGACAAAGATTTTTTTGAAAAAATCCCTAAGCCCCGGGTCACAATTTCATCAAAAATCTGACTTTCGGCAATTCAATCAAAAATGTTGCCAAAGGTTGCAAATGCTCCCTGAGAGGTTTGGCGGTCGAAACAGAAGGCTTTTTATCACAGGAAAAGAAATCAGCCCCAGCAAAAATCTGACTTTTGGCAATTCAATCAAAAATGGTGCCAAAGGGTTGCAAATGCTCCCCTGAGAGGTTTGGCGGTCGAAACAGAAGGCTTTTTATCACAGGAAAAGAAATCAGCCCTCAACAACTGACCCGGCAGACAAAGATTTTTTTGAAAAAATCCCTAAGTCCCGGAGTCACAATTTCAGCAAAAATCTGATTTATGGGAATTCGCTCAAAAATGGTGCCAAAGGGTTGCAAAGGCTCCCGTGAGAGGTTTGGCGTTCGAAACAGAAGGCTTTTTATCACAGGAAAAGAAATCAGCCCTCAACAACTGAACCGGCAGAAAAAGTTTTTTTTAAAAAAATCCCTAAGCCCCGGGGTCACAATTTCAGCAAAAATCTGAGATAAGGGAATTCACTCAAAAATGGTGCCAAATGGTTGCAAATGCTCCCCTGAGAGGTTTAGCGGTCGAAACAG